ACCAAAAAAAAAAAAAAAAAAAAAAAGATGGAGAGAGATTCTTGGTTCCTTTCTCCCATCTCAGATTAATATAGCCCACAGTCTTTTGAATATGTATGCAATAGACTAAAAAGTAAATGGACCCAGAGGGGATCTGTTAGAAAAGAAGGGACACCTCACATTAAATGAGCCACTAAGTACCCCACATGCCTCACTGAAATCAAAACAGAGGAAAGTATCCTTATTAAGCAGCCAGGATGCTGCCCAAGCCAGACCTATGATGACTCGAGCAAGGCCTTGGAAAAAGAAGACCAGGTGAAAGGCTTCTTTCATTTTTATACCAAATCAGACCCCTAGTTATAGGGACATCACAGAGGGAAGGTACAGGCTGTCTTGGTGAGTAGCTCTCATTCTGCCTCCTTCTTGAAGCCACTCCCAGGATTTTCCATCAAGCAGGGCCCAAGAGCAAGCAATTATGTCCACCCGCTGCAATGCAGAGGGCTGCATCCAGGCTACTCACCTGCTCCAAAACAAAGAGGGACAGCGTAGGATCAAGGAAGCCAAAACCTGAGCTGAGTGAGGTAATGGCGAAGGATATAAAGGCAACCTTGGGTAAAATGATGAGTTTCCAGAATGAGTGTTTCCCTGGATCAGACTCTGTGGGGTAAAAATAAAAAAAGAAATTAGAGTAATGAAAATTGCTTAACTTTATCTTTCAATCTATTTTGAAAAGTAAAATTGGTAAGGTCACCTTTATCCAGTAATCAAAATAACCACACTTTTGAGTTTGCCTAAAATTTGCATATAAGTTATTCAAGCCTAGAGGCCATTTCAGTGTTCTTAAAAATAATTTCTCTAATTCAAAAAGAATCAACTGGAATCAGAGTGTGAGGAAAAGAAGCAGTCTTGGTTACGGGTCATAACCTAGAAGTCAGTGAGGCCTTCCCAGATGGGATAGAGAATATGTAAAGTTTGATTTGGTGCATAGGAAAAGCCAGACGCTTTATCGGGGAACAATGTGTGTGTGCTGAGGAAGAATCTGAGTTAATCAAAGAATACAAAACAACTTTTTTCTGCTCATGAAAAAAAACACTGGATTGAAAGGGATGCTCGGGACTTCCTTGGCAGTCCAGTGGTTAGGACTCCCTGCTTCCACTGCAGGGGACATGGGTTCGATCCCTGGTCAGGGAACTAAGATCCTGCATGCCGTGTGGTACGGCTAAAAAAAGAATGAGATGCTACTGAATCATGTGTACATTCCATTTGGCAGTAAAGGTCAGTTGAACAGCAACCTCATGTCCTGCCATTCCAACAGCAACACAACTTCTGCACCGTCCCAAGCACCGGGCATGGTTGTTTCTAAGCCTCCAATCATATCCTACAACTCCCTTCTTTCTCCCCTGCTAATTTTTCAAGTTCTATTCACTCTGTAAAGTCTGGCTGTGACCCTAATTACCCCACAAATTTTACCTGTTTCCTACTGCACTTCTAATCTATACCATGTAATTTAGCACTTAAACTGTATTTCATTTTACGTGGTTTACTACTGTTTGATGACTTTCCTATCTTCCAACTAATTTACTGAACAAAATCTAGGCTGAGTCAGATACCACGCAAAATGCTGGGCAGACAAAGGCAAAGGAGACAAACCCAGACCCTGACCTCACAGAGAAGATACAGTAAGGCGTGGAGAGAGCTAAGATGGAGCTAGGAGGGTATGGATTGGAGCATATGAGAGGGTTGCCTTAAAAAATACAGGGAAAGCTGTTTAGGAAAGAATTTCCAAAAGTAGTAATATCTAAGTTGCTGCCTAAAAGATGAGCTTGAGATGAACAAGCAAAGAAGGAGGAAAGAATAATCCAGGCAAATTATCCAGGAATGGCTCATTCCAAGACTCAGAAGTGAGGGAAAACTATTCTGTTTGAGGAAATGAAAGAGCAGAAGCAAAGGTGGAGGGTGGAAATTGGAGGGTAGGGAAGAGAGGCCACATTGCAGAAGGATGTAGTGATAAGATTATGCAGCACTTGTAAAATAGGCTAAGAAGCCCGGGAAATCACTAGACACTTCAAACAAAGACTGAGAATAAACTTTGTGGTTTAAAGAGACCCCTCTGTGGTCTCCTGGGAAATGCAGACAGGGGGACGAGTTAGGAGACTGTGCACTGAACCAGGCCAGGAAGCTCTCTGAGGGCCAAATCAGCAGTGACATATCCTCATTTCTCCAAAAGCACCCACCACAGTTCATTACTCAATAAATTCTTGATGAATAATGATCCAGTAGGGAGCAAAGTACCAAAAAAGCATAACGTGTGGTTCAACTATTTTAAGTACTACACTTGGACTTTGTCAGGATATGAGGGATAAAGTTAAACTGTGGTGTTAGTTTCTTAATTATTTGCCAAATATTCAATGATGAATCAATTGTGAGCCCAGCCTAGGATGTTTAACTACAGATTTGACTTAGAACAGGGATAGGCACCACCATGTGGCTCAGTGTGGCAGTGCCAGCAGGGAGACTTCATTGGGTGTGGATTTTGGATTGTATATTACAGATGTTTATTAGTCACCTTTAAAATATAAATGATAAAAGATCAACTGTAACCAATTACATTTATTATGCATATAGAAGGTATTATGGATGTATGGTATAAGACAAAGTATTATGGCATAAATGGTCCATTTCCCTAAATCCAAAGTGGGAAAGGGGATTATCGCAATAAGAACATACAGGAACGTACATGAAAATGAACACATAACGAATTTAACTAAGCTGTTGATGAGGCCCAAGCAATGAAAACTTATGGTGACACCTACTTCCAGAGGCACGTGACAAAATCACCTGGGGAGCTTTTCCAAGCCACTCAGGTATTCTCTCTGCTTCCTCCAATTCTGATACATTCTTCTTGGAGGGACAGGACTCCATGGTTGACAATGCCTGCCACAGGAAACTGCTCTTAGAGATGAGGAAGTGGTGTGGCCCTCAGGTGTGAAGGGGCAGGAAAAATGCAGAGCACTGTGGCACTAGTGACTTAGCATTTAGATCACTGATTGAGAAGGTTCAGAAAAACTTCCCAGAAGAGGTCATACAAATTAAGTTTTGAAGGATGAGTAGGAGTTAGGTAGAGTAGAAGTGGGAGATAGTCCAGCTCATGTGACTCCCCTGCTGACACCTAACAACAGCTCCTAGTGGCATTCAGGATAAAGCTCTCATTTCGTGGATTTAGGGATTTTTATTAAGAGGATTGTCATGTACTTGACTGTGTTTTAAAAATATTTCTTTAGTGCAGTATGGAAGAGGTGACTTGGCGAGCAGATATAAAGGATGAGAGAGAGGGAGGGACTGAAGTTGACTCTTAGACACCCAAACCTAAAGCTACATTGTTCATGGGTCTAGAAGCAGTTAAATGAGTGAGGTGGAACTTATAGAACAAAATTCTGCCAATATCATCAAAATAAAAGAAAATTTAATTTTCTAGCTTCTATCTATAAGCTTTCCTAAAACATTAATACTTAAAGGTACTCAATGGGAACCCCTAAATCAATATTTATACCCTTAACATTATCAATTTTTGAGATTTAAAAAAAAACACCAGGTTTTTTCATTCAATCTAAATAGAAGATCCTTCTTTAGATAAACAGAAAGTTTGCCAAACCATTTTAAATGGGCAAAAGACCTAAATAGACATTTCTCCAAAGAAGATATACAGATTGCCAACAAACACATGAAAGAATGCTCAACATCACTAATCATTAGAGAAATGCAAATCAAAACCACAATGAGGAATTACCTCACACCGGTCAGAATAGGCATCATCAGAAAATCTACAAACAACAAAGGCTGGAGAGGGTGTGGAGAAAAGGGAACCCTCTTGCACTACTGATGGGAATGTAAATTGATACAGCCACTATGGAGAACAGTATGGAGGTTCCTTAAAAAACTAAAAACAGAATTACCATATGACCCAGCAATCCCACTCCTGGGCATATACCCTGAGAAAACCATAATTCAAAAAGAGTCATGTACCGCAATGTTCATGGTAGCACTATTTACAATATCCAGGTCATGGAAGCAACCTAAATATCCATCGACAGATGAATGGATGAAGAAGATGTGGTACATATATACAATGGAATATTACTCAGTCATAAAAAGGAACGAAATTGGGTCGTTTGTAGTGAGGTGGATGAACCTAGAGTCTGTCATACAGAGTGAAGTGAGTCAGAAAGAGAAAAACAAATACTGTATGCTAACACATATATATGGAAGCTAAAAAAAAAATGGTTCTGATGAACCTAGGGGCAGGACAGGAATAAAGATGCAGACATAGAGAATGGACTTGAGGACACAGGGCGTGGGGAAGGGGACATGAAAGAATGCTCAACATCACTAATCATTAGAGAAATGCAAATCAAAACCACAATGAGGAATTACCTCACACCGGTCAGAATAGGCATCATCAGAAAATCTACAAACAACAAAGGCTGGAGAGGGTGTGGAGAAAAGGGAACCCTCTTGCACTACTGATGGGAATGTAAATTGATACAGCCACTATGGAGAACAGTATGGAGGTTCCTTAAAAACTAAAAATAGAATTACCATATGACCCAGCAATCCCACTACTGGGCATATACCCAGAGAAAACCATAATTCAAAAAGACACATGCACCCCAATGTTCATTGCAGCACTATTTACAATAGCCAGGACATGGAAGCAACCTAAGTGTCCATTGACAGATGAATGGATAAAGAAGATGTGGCACATATATACAATGGACTATTACTCAGCCATAAAAAGAAACGAAATTGAGTTATTTGTAGTGAGGTGGATGGACCTAGAGTCTGTGATACAGAGTGAAGTAAGTCAGAAAGAGAAGAACAAATACCGTACGCTAACACATATATATGGAATCTGAAAAGCAAAATGGTTCTGAAGAGCCTAGGGGCAGGAGAGGAATAAAGACGCAGACATAGAGAATGGACTTGAGGACATGGGGAGGGGGAAGGGTAAGCTGGGACAAACGAGAGAGTGGCATTTACATATATACACTACCAAATGTAAAATAGATAGCTAGTGGGAAGCAGCCGCATAGCACAGGGAGATCAGCTCGGTGCTTTGTGACCACGTGGAGGGGTGGGATAGGGATGGTGGGAGGGAAAGGCAAGAGGGAGGAGATATTGGTCTCCTACAAAAGCATAAAAATACTTAAATTTAAGGTTCTTAAAGTGAGTAATATATGAGGCCTTACCATAATTAGGTAAAATACACATGTTGAGGGGAACCATCAGCAGAACTATGCATCCCAGAAGAATGAAAGGCACCTCATAGCCAAAGGATTGATACAAGAAGCCACCCAAAGGAGGCCCTAGTACTAGACCGAGTCCAGAAAAAGTCTCAAGACTTCCCTACAAATGGGAAAACAAAAGAAAATTGAGTTAATATATCGTGTTTGAAAAATGAACAAAGATTTAACGGGCAGGATCTGAAAAAAAATCTATCCACTTTACAATTTATACACACACCACACACACACCCAAGAGGGACCAAAAATTTAAACATACATATTAAAATCATATAAGTACTAGAAAAATTAAAAATGAGAGTTTTTTGTTTTCTAATCCTTATGGTGAGGTAAATTTTCTAATTATGACATAAAAACTTAGAAGACACAAAAGAAAAGACTGATAAATCTGATTACATGAAAATATGAAAAACTATGAATGGCAAAAAAAATCAAAAGACAAATGAAGAATGGGGAAAAAATATTGACAAAGGACTAATTTCCCAAATGCATCACAAGAGCAACTACTAATCAATGAGAAAAATCAACAGTCCTATGGGAGGAACTTCCCTGGTGGTGCAGTGGTTAAGAATCTGCCTGCCAATGCTGGGGACATGGATTCAATCCCTGGTCCGGGAAGATCCCACATGCCGTGGAGCAACTAAGCCCATATGCCACAACTACTGAGCCCACGAGCCACAACTACTGAGGCCCCAGGCCACAACTACTGAAGCCCACGCACCTAGAGCCCATGCTCCACAACAAGAGAAGCCACTGCAATGAGAAGCCCGTGTACCACAACAAGCAGTAGCCATTGCTCGCCGCAACTAGAGAAAGCCTGCGTGCAGCAACAAAAACCCAATGCAGCCAAATAAATAAATAAATAAACATATTAAAAAAAATTTTAGAAAAAAGAAAAAACACAATCCTATGGGAAAATGGGAAAATGTTATAAATAGACTGTTGACACATCAAATGAAATACAACTAGCTCTAATGTGAACTGGCCATCTCTAAGTTGCAGGACAGCAAAGGCACACTCCAAACATGTTTAGCCACAAAACCTTGTCTTACACAGCATGTCAATGGATTAGCATCTTTCTGAACCCTTCTTGAGAAATGTAAACAGTACACCTGTTACAGTGGCCACCACTGCATGGCAAATGACTATAGAACCTATAGTGAATCTATACAGATATATATACATACATATATATATATACTTACACGGGTGTATATGTGTACATATATTTAATAAAAGTGTGAAGATTTATATTTATACAGCAAATAGTTTACCTGAGGGTCAAAACTTTCAAACTGTAGTATTAATATGGGTAAGTGAGAGAATCCTTGGTACTGAGCTGATTAGACCCTGAGGTCTCTGAGGGTGGTGCCTGTTCTGCAACGCAAACCAGGAGTCCTTCGGGGATGTCTGGGTTCAGAGGAGTGAGCTATGGGAAAGGCTAGCTGGGATCAGGGAGACAGCAGCCAAGAGCTAGGACAGGAATCTGGTATGTCACTAATACCTGGTGTCGAGGCATGGAGGCAATATATGACAATGTATGCCAATACGATGCTACTAGGCTCTGAATTTTTTTGGTAAAATAAGAGGGAGTTCCTCAGACTGACTGCACAGAAGCACTTGTGGACTTCAGAATGATCTCTAAGGTCCTTTCCGTGAATCCGGGAAAAGTGGAGGAAGGACTCTAGTATAAATCTGCTTCAGGCGGCCTAGCTACAATCTAGGCTACAGAGAGACAGCAAAATACTATTAGAGAGGGTTTTTTATTTTTTAAGGGGTAAAAAAGAACATTTGGTTTTGCCCATTCAGGGGCTTCTAAGCCCAGGAAGAACACCTAAGTAGACTAAGGGTATATTTATTGACAGCCTGCTGCTACAGGCAGAAATTGGGGTAAAAGGTACCAAAAACAGAAAGTAGAAAAAAGGCAGGTCTAGAAGAATGGGCCCCAGGTTTAACTTGAAAGGTCAAATAAATATTTTAGCCTACACTAAAAGGAAAGTAGGAAAAGTGTATAAAATACCTACCATTACTGTAGCCACGTTATTTGGAAAAGCCTTTGCAAGGATAGAAGAAGATGCGGTTATTGCTGCAGCAAAACTGATTGCGTCAGTTATTCTCACTAGAAAACACATAGCAATAAACATGGGTCCTTCTGGAACTTGGTCCAATACACTAAAAAAAGAATAAGATGACTCTCAAATGCCAAATTGATTTTGATTTTTTTTTTAACTGTACTCACTGAAAACAGTTAGTACCTCAACCACAGTTATTAAAATAAATCTCTTTAGAATACACATTTTTTAAGGGTTTCTTTGTTATATTTTTAGTAGGAGGAATTTGAGTCATAATGACAGCCTCATTGTGCTCTTTTACTGATATATTTGATGCCCTAAATAATAATACTAAATAGGCCTTTTGAAAAATGTAGAGTCACTCTGATAAGAACATATGTAGAAAGCCTTCTTAGTTTTAGGTCTTCCCCCAAACAACAAAAAAAAAACACAGGAAGAGGAAAGCAAAACCAGGAACCTGAGAAAGATTTCTGATGACATTATCTTAACATTTGTATCCTTATGTTCTTCAGCTGATTCTTTAGGTAAGAAATTCACCTTTCTGCTTAAGCCAAAAAGTTTTTGTGACTCAGAAAAGGGAGTTAAGTTTCTGTCTCTCAGGATCACAGGAATCCTAAAGAACAGATTCAGCAGCCAGCTTAATGGTGATCCCCTAGAGGACTCTTTTCTTAAGATCCTTGTCATTCATTCTATTCACTGTATCATTCAACTCCCTTCAACATTAGTCACATGGTACTGACTGATTTACATAAACCATTAACATTGTAAACTGAAGATAAATTATGAAATCTGTTCAAGCTCCCAAACATATCAGAACATGACTTACCCAAAGAGAACTGTAACTCCTCCTGAGACAAACATCCCTGCTACAAACATAAATTTTGCTCCAATATGTACAAGCTATAATAAATGTCAAAGAAAAGTGTAAATTAATGACTGCTACAAGTCTATAGTGACATAAACAAATCCACTGTATCAGGAAATGAAAGATTTGGGGAAGATATGTACAGTTAACAAAACATTATAAGTCTTTAATGGAATGACAACATGCGTTGCTTACAAACATGGAAGAAGTTAAAAATCAATCAACTTTAAGAATGGAACTGTCAACTGAAGCACGATTCATAAAATATAATAGTGGTTATTTCTGTATCAGTGGAAATTCTAGACTAGTAAATTAGAATAACTCATTACACAATTTAAAAAAAATAAATACTTACATATTTTCCAAATACCAAAGATGCCAGCAAGTTAAACAAAGCATAACATCCAAAGATCATACCAATAACTGTATTGCTGGCTCCTTTCTTTTCAGCCTTTAAAGAAACAGAAAAGAAAACAAAGTTTGAAAGGCACATTAGCACCAATATAGAAAAATGAAGCTATTAGATCAGAGCATCATCTTCTTGTAACCTTTACCTGTAGAGTAATTTCAAAGATTATTATTTTGAAATAAACAGGGTGAGGAAGGAAAGGAAACTATTAAACCTAGTCTCTGACATGAAAGTAATTCACTCACCAAGCCTATAACAAATTGCTAGCTTTACGATCTTGAGAAAAAAAAGAACAGAGCTGGAGGAATCACACTTTTTGATTTCAAAAATAAGTTACAAAGGTAGAGTAATTAAAACAGTATGTTACTGGCATAAAGACAGACATACAGACCAATGGAACAAAATAGAAAGCTCAGAAATAAACCCACATAAATATGGTCAATTGATCTTCCACAAGGGTGCCAAGGACACACAATGGGGAAGAGATATTCTCTTCGACAAATGGTGTTGGGAAAACTCGATACCCACATGCAAAAGAATGAAATTGGACCTCTATCTTACATCACTCACAAAATAATCTCAAAGCAAATTAGACTTAATCACATAATCTGAAACTATTACACTTCTGGAAGAAAACAGGGGGTGAGGCCTTCTTGACATTGACCTTGGCAATGATTTCTTGGATTTGACACCAAAATCTTAGGCAACAAAACAAATCAGACAAATGGAACTACATCAAACTAAAAATCTTCACAGCAAAGGAAACAATCAACAGACTGAAAAGGCAACCTACAGAATGGAAGAAAGTATTTGTAAACCACCTCTATATAAGGGGTTAATATCCAAAATATGTAAGAATCTCCTACAACTCAATAGTCCCACAAAGAACCTGATTTAAAAATGAGCAAAGAACGTGAACAGACATTTCTATAAAAGAGATACAAATGGCCACCAGATATATGAAAAGCTGCTCAACATCGCTAATTGTCAGGGAAATGCAGATTAAAATCATAATGAGATATCATCTCGCACCGGTTAGGATGGCAATTATTGAAAAAAACAAAAGATAACAAGTGTTGATGAGGATGTGGAGAAACTGGAACCTTATACACTGTTGGTGGGAATGCAGAATAGTGCAGCCACTATGGAAAACAATATGGAGGATCCTGAAAACATAGAACTACCATATAATTCAGCAATCCCTCTTCTGAGTATATATCCAGAAGAACTGAAAGCAAGGTCTCAGATATATTTGCACCCCCCATGTTCACTGCAGTATTATTCGAAATAGCCAAGATGATATAGAAACAACACAAATGTCCATTGATCGATGAATGGATAAAGCAAATGTGGTATACACATAAAATGGATTATTATTCAGCCTCAAAAAGAAGGAAATTTTGGCATTTGCAACAACATGGATGAACCTTGAGGAAATTATGCTAAGCGGAGTAAGCCAGTCATAGAAGAACAAACGCTACATGATTCCATTTATATGAAGTATCTTGGGGCTTCCCTGGTGGCGCACTGGTTGAGAATCTGCCTGCTAATGCAGGGGACACGGGTTCGAGCCCTGGTCTGGGAGGATCCCACATGCCACGGAGCAACTGGGCCTGTGAGCCACAACTACTGAGCCTACATGTCTGAAGCCTGTGCTCTGCAACAAGAGAGGCCGTGATAGTGAGAGGCCCGTGCACCGCGATGAAGAGTGGCCCCCGCTTGCCACAACTAGAGAAAGCCCTCGCACAGAAACGAAGACCCAACACAGCAAAAATAAATAAATTAATTAATAAACTCCTACTCCCAACATCTTCTAAAAAAAAAAAATGGTTAGAAGACCTAAATAGACATTTTTCCAAAGAAGACATACAGATGGCCAAGAAGCACATGAAAAGCTGCTCAACATCACTTAATCATTAGAGAAATACAAATCAAAACTACAATGAGGTATCACCTCACACCAGTTAGAATGGGCATCATCAGAAAATCTACAAACAACAAATCCTGGAGAGGGTGTGGAGAAAAGGGAACCCTCTTGCACTGTTGGTGGGAATGTAAATTGATTCAGCCACTATGGAGAACAGTATGGAGGTTCCTTAACTAAAAACAGAATTACCATATGATCCAGCAATCCCACTACTGGGCATATACCCAGAAAAAACGATAGTTCAAAAACACACATGCACCCCAATGTTCATTGCAGCAGTATTTACAATAGCCAGGTCATGAAAGCAACCTAAATGCCCACTGACAGATGAACATATAAAGCCATAAAATGGGATGAAATCAGCTCATTTGCAGAGATGTGGATGGACCTAGAGACTGTCATACAGAGAGAAGTAAGTCAGAAAGAGAAAAACAAATATCGTATATTAATGCATATATGTGGAATCTAGAAAAATGGTACAGATGAACCAGTTTGCAAGGCAGAAATAGAGACACAGATGTAGAGAACAAACGTATGGACACCAAGGGGGGAAAGTGGATGGGGGCATGAACTGTGAGATTGGGATTGACATATATACACTAATATGTATAAAATAGATAGCTAATAAGAACCTGCTGTATAATAAATAAATAAAATTAAATTTTTGAAAAAAGGAGAAACACACAGGAGGAAGGTTTGAATACAAATAAATTTAAAAATCACTTTGCTGGTCAAACAAACAATAAATGCTGGAGAGGGTGTGGAGAAAAGGGAACACTCTTGCACTGCTGGTGGGAATGTGAATTGGTTCAGCCACTATGGAGAACAGTATGGAGGTTCCTTAAAAAACTACAAATAGAACTACCATATGACCCAGCAATCCCACTACTAGGTATATACCCTGAGGAAACCAGAATTCAGAAAGAGTCATGTACCAAAATGTTCATTGCAGCTCTATTTACAATAGCCCGGAGATGGAAACAACCTAAGTGCCCGCCGTCGGATGAATGGATAAAGAAGATGTGGCACATATATACAATGGAATATTACTCAGCCATAAAAAGAAACGAAATTGAGCTATTTGTAATGAGGTGGATAGATCTAGAGTCTGTCATACGGAGTGAAGTAAGTCAGAAAGAGAAGGACAAATACCGTATGCTAACACATATATATGGAATTTAAGAAAAAAAAATGTTATGAAGAACCTAGGGGTAAAACAGGAATAAAGACAGAGACCTACTGGAGAACAGACTTGAGGATATGGGGAGGGGGAAGGGTGAGGTGTGTTAGGGCGAGAGAGAGACATGGACATATATATACTAACAAACGTAAGGTAGATAGCCAGTGGGAAGCAGCCGCATGGCACAGGGAAACCGGCTCGGTTCTTTGTGGCTGTCTGGAGGGGTGGGATAGGGAGGGTGGGAGGGAGGGAGACAAAGAGGGAAGAGATATGGGAACATATATATATGTATAACTGACTCACTCTGTTATAAAGCAGAAACTAACACACCATTGTAAAGCAATTATACCCCAATAAAGATGTTAAAAAAAAAAAACAAAACAAACAAACAAAAAAAAACTCAAGAACAGGAAGCTTCTTAAGCTGGCACATGAGTCATCCCAAGGACTGTTCAGGGTGGTTCTCTGTTTCTGACACCCACTCTCAACTACCTGACAGTTCAGAGAAGATGAAGTTTCCTTTCCTGACATCAATAACACAGATGAAAGAAGCTCCCCCAGCTCCCAGCATTCTCTCCGTTCTCCTGAAACATTTGGAGTAGTTTATTGCCCATCAATGATCCCTATTAATATTTGTAGCCTATTCTATCAGTGAGCTCCTAAATTTGCTACAGATGATATAGTATTTATTCTAAATTTACTTCTTTTGAACTTCAAATGCTACTATTAGTTGTGATGTACAAATGAATAGACAAAAGGTTTGAAAACCTTTTTAAAACCCTGGAACTATGGTAGATCCTTAGATCAGGTTCTAGCTATAACCATGTAAGGGGTTAAAATATGAGTTTAATTTCTTAAAGATAAGATTGGCAACTTGGCGTACCATGAAGCACTAAGCCTGAAACACACATCTGTCCTCTCAGGCAGTCAGGAATCATTTACCGAGCACCTTCTATGCATCACGCATGGTACCCAGGAGCCAGCAGTGAATAGCTATGGTCAGAAGATCCAACTTAGATTCATCCTTCTGCCAGAGCTTCAGCTCTTCCACAAATCACTCTACTCTGAATACAGAAATGCATGTGCATACACACACTCCCTTTAAAATCCGTCCTCCACAACAGCCATAATTCTATTTCTTTACCTTTTCTCCCTAACTACAATTTTAAGATAAAAATTTACTTTATTGCTTCTCATACGAAGTTATGATCATCATTCAAACCTTGTCTTTAAAAAAAAATGTTCTTCTTATGTTATTATGTCTCTAAATAAACCCTACAGTTCTCAAAGCAGCATACCACAGGAAATCAGACAGGTGAACTCTACTTTTCATGGCTAAACTATAGGCAGGAAAGGTCCCCTCACTCTAGGAAGCACCTCCTACCCCTGAAGTGTGGTCCCTAAGTACCTGGTGGTGGGAGACAGTGGAGAAGTTGAACCCAGAGCATTGTAGAAACTGCTTGGGCAGGATTTCAGTCTCATAATTCTATGAGACTCAGGATTAGCCATTCCCCTTCCATTACTAATCATCACATGAGATAATGATGTGGAGAAAAGAGAGATCTCACTATGAATGATGGCTTCATTGGTATCCTAGCAAAAGGTTACACTGTGTGTAGACAGGAACACGGAGTCCACATTTCTACTACACAAAGGTCAGGTGGTGTTACGGGGTTCATTGTGTCCCTCAAACGTCTTATGTTGATGTCCTAACTCTCAGTACCTCAGAATGTGACCTTATTTGGAGATATAGTTTTTGCAGGGGTAATCAGTTGAACTGAGGTCGTTAAGGGTGGAGTCTAATCCAATATTACTCGAATCTTTGTAAAAAGGGGAAATTTCTTTACAGAGACACGCGTAGAGGGAAGATGGTATGAAAGGACACACGGAGAAATTGGCCATCTACAAGCCAGAGAGAGAGGCCTGGGACAGATCTTCCCCTCACGGCCCTCAGAAGGAACCAGCCTTGCCAATGACACCCTGATTTTGGACTTCTAGCCACCAGAGCTGTGAGACAATAAATTTCTGTTGTCCCCAGTCCGTGGTACTTTGTTACAGCAGCCCTAGTAACATAAAACAGGTACCTTGAAGGGAAGGTATCAACAAAGGGGTGAATTAAGATGTAGAAAGAACATTCATTGGTCAAGTCACATCCATGTTCTTTGCTTAACAGCTCTGAAAGCTATTTAATTCTAGAGTCTGGCAGAAAATATATAATAGTCACAGCAACTAACATTTATTGAACCCTCACTATGAGCCATGCTGTTCTATATGGTTTCTAACAACAATTAAATAAGGCATGTATTTTTAGCTGGCCCCATTTTACAGATGAGAACACAGACTTGCAAAAGTTCCTTGTGTCATGGTCCCAGCAGTCATGTCAGCTTCCTTCTTGCACGGGTTCCCACATTCTCTGTGGAAGCAGGATGGTGACTTAGGATGTCCTAGAATCACATACCACAGCAGTAACTGAATACCACTTTTGGCATGCGGATCCATGCACATTAGGACAGCAAGAACAGCTATTAAAAGCAATTTCTAGTTCTCTTATAATCCTCTGCCAAAGAAGGAGGGGGCCACAAAAAGGATAAGTAGAAATAAGAATCCTGTGCCAGAAGTTAAGAAGAAGAGCCTTGGGCTTCCCTGGTGTCGCAGTGGTTGAGAGTCCGCCTGCCGATGCAGGGGACACGGGTTCGTGCCCCGGTCCAGGAGGATCCCACATGCCGCGGAGTGGCTGGGCCCGTGAGCCGTGGCCGCTGAGCCTGCGCGTCCGGAGCCTGTGCTCCGCAACGGGAGAGGCCACAGCGGTGAGAGGCCCGCGTACCGCAAAAAAAAAAAAAAAAAAGAAGGGCCTTGTTCTCCTTTGACCTAATTAGCTCCAGCTAATAGGAAGGTTAACAGAATATGAAGAAGAAAGAGCAAGTTTTGCCAGTGTGTTTGTCAACCCTAAGGCTGTTATTAAAAATGAAAAAGAAGAGCCCACTCTTCAAATCTATACCTATTAAAGTTAGAACGCTCTCTCCCCTGCCTCTTGGACGCCAAAAACTAAATCAAAAACTTTAAGAGAAAGAAAAAACAAAAAAGGCACACACCAACAGCCTTCTTTTCCTTTGTCTGTACTCCACTAAGAGGAATCTAACACTAGTTGCCCTTGCTGAGTTCCAGCTGAACCGGGATACCCTTCTAACTTGATGGCCCATTTACTCCCATTCTTCTCCATCGTAATTACACAGGCTCCATCCATCACTATTTTTTTCCAAAACCGTTATCTACTCAGTCTACTTACTCTGTCTTGCCCAAGCACCTCTGATGACTTCTTACTGACTACATCTTTGGCCTGCGTGGAAGGACCCTTGCATTCGAGCACCAACCTGCCTTCTCAGATCCTCTGCTCCCATCGGACCTCACTGAACCCCAGGCTCAAGCCCCACCTTCGTCCGTGCTTCCCTAAGAACACGCTATTTACTTTGCTAATCTCGTGACTATCCCCTGCGGGTGTCTAACCTAGAACACCTCTTTGATTCACCTTAGGGTTATTCGGCCAAGGCCCTTTCAGTATTACTCCTTCTCTCCTTCCCTTCCACACCAGCCAGCCTCTCCCGTGGCAAAATTAACCATTCCCTTCCCTAGAGCCTCCTAACATTTTGGACATCCTCTTCAAGGAGATCCAAAGAGTCTGCAACTTTTTTTTTTTTTTTTGCGGTACGCGGGCCTCTCACTGTTGTGGCCTCTCCCTTTGCGGAGCACAGGCTCTGGACGCGCAGGCTCAGCGGTCATGGCTCACTGGCCCAGCCACTCCAAGGCATGTGGATCCTCCAGGACCAGGGCAGGAACCCGTGTCCCCTGCATCAGCAGGCGGACTCTCAACCACTCTGCCACCAGGGAAGCCCCTCTGCAACTTTTTGTTGTCATACTTTTTCACTCCCAACGGACAGATGAGAGAGGGACATTTTCTTCATCTTTTCTCCAGCCCTAACACATCCAATGCCTAGCACACTCTAGGGTGGGAAGTCGTTAAACCTCCCATTCCCGTTCAGTAAACAGAATTGAACTGGGCCAGTCACTTAACTTCGGAATCTGTTTCTTCGTTTGCAACATTATGAGATTCTGGCTATTCTGCCTATCTTATGGAGTTGCTACGGAAACCAAATGGGATAATGTGTGGGAAAGTACACTGAAAACTAAAAAGCACTTATGGCTACAGAGCTGTACCGCTTCTTTAGCAGAGAAGCCATGTTTCTCATCTTTTGTAGCACACAGAAGGAAGGACAACATGTTATCAAAGAAGTTAGAGGACTGGGAGGGGCCCGTGCATCATGAGGCTTAACAAAGAGCATGAAGCAAAACACATGGGCAGATTATCTCCACTCAGCCAAGTCAGTATCATTCCTTCCATAGTATACCTCACCAACCTCCAGATTCCAGGTGGATTCTCTAGGGGTTATTCCTTCGAGTCTGTGCCATTATCCATAGACCCTAACACCACATAAAACACTATGATTAGAAGGACCTAATCAATATTAATCAGAATTCCTCCTTGGCACAAACATTGCCACTAGATTCCATATGAAACTCAAGTCAGAAAAGGGCATTTAGTGGACCATGCCTTCCTAATTCCAAAATATTAATAAACTCAAACTCCAGGAAACACTGTCTTCACGTAGATCTTTTGCAATAACGTTAAAATCTCAGTTATTCAGTGCACTTCCTTTTTTTTTTTTTTTTTTTTCAGTTGCAGAAACCAAACAGATGAATCGAACTACATGGTAAGCAAAGTAATCCTCAGAAGGTCAATTACGCTTAGGTGAATTACTTCCCAAGATGATGTTATTTTTACTGAATTTTTTTTTTCTGGTATCATATATTCTCTAAGAAGTCTTCTGTTGGCTGAAGTTGTATACATCATCTTTGCCATATGCATATTTTTACATCCCCCAAATGAAATATTGCAAAGGCTTTTTAAAAACACTAATAGTTCAGAAGGATATAAAAATGTCTTACCTCCTTGGGGAAAAAAGGTCCAAGGATAGAATAGCACATCATGGAGCCTAAGTTAATGGAAGCTGCTGCTATCAGTACAAAGATCTGTTCTCTTGAAAGCTGCCTGGATGTCTCCCGTGCACCTCCTGGAGGGCCATCACCTTGAATGCAAACATGCTGCAATTACAGACATGTAATTGCGGCTACTGATCAAAGTACAGAAATGTCACTCCTGTGCACAGAAATGCACTCAGGATAACATTTGCTGAGCTAAGGGCTATTTTGAATACAGCACATTTGATCAAATGTGACACAATCCCTGTATATCACTGCAATTTTCAAAATATATCACTTTCATTTACATACTATTCCCTATTAGGATTTCAGTGCACAATTTATCCAACCATCTGCTTTGTTTTGCCTTCACCATAAGGTCTATTTCTTTCACCTTTAATAGATTCCTTCAAGAAGGATGAGGCCACAGGGTGCTCTCCAGAGTACTGTTCTCTGAAGTATAGTGTGCTTTCTCAAGTTACTAGCTTCATATGCTACATGGACTCAATCACATTTTAAGCATGTCATGTTAGCGGTTTATTAAGAGGGTACTATTGAAGGCAAGTGAAGTGTAAGTAGGAGAAAATAAGCTAAATCATTCAACTGGAGAATTAATACTTACAATGGCAGCTCCTGGAAAGACAAGTGCCATAAATCTGTAAATCAGTGTTTTACAATAATTACAGGTCTTCTGCATCAATTAATTTAATACTTATTCCCAGGGCTAAATTTCCATTTAATTTAAAGACACGAGGTCATTTACTCAGTTCCAAACATCCAGTAAATCTATTTGCTATTTTTAAATTAAACGGTTTTGAGATAAAAGAAATTTAAGTAAGAAAAGTATATTTGAATTGCTCTGTTTTTTCAGAGGTTGCCATTGCTGTCTAGAAAAAGAAATCTGTGCAACAGGAGGAAGTCTTAAGAATCTGTGTAAAAATTTTGGTAGTGGATGAGGAAGGGAACTGAGAGAAAGTTAAAGGGTTGAGAGGGACAACAGTGGGGCTCGTTTTCGTTTGTCTAACAGGCACACTTATTTGAATGCATTCTTAAACACATAGTACTTAAAAGTAGAGCTACAGAGAGAAAGTCATTAGAGGCCACATCCGCACCACCCCAATGCGCAAACTTTAACCCTTTCCAGAGAGAAAAAACACGCTGACCCGAACCCCACTGCCAGGCCCCTCCTTTTCGAATCTCTCGCAAACAAACCACGCTAAAGCTAATTCAATTGCTGTGAGAGACACGACCCAAGCCACAGAGGTACATCCGGCCTCGCTGTTCTCTGTAACCTCCTGGGGGGCGTGGGCCTTCGGGGTCCCCCGGCGAGTCCATGGGCAGTGCGCGGACTCCTGCGCCGCAGCTCCCGGGTCCAAGCCCGCACCCTCGGACTCGACCTTGAAGGAGCGGAAAGGCGGGCGGCGATTGCTCAGCAGGGCCCAGGCATCCCGGATTCCCTACGGGAAGGGCCCCCGGGAGTTCCACGCGGTCCTAGAGGATAGGGAGGAGCTCCGGGAGGCTGGGCGAGGGCGGGCGGAGGGCGGAGCAAGGACTTTGTTTTTAAGGCATAGGCTGTTTACGTCCACCACTTAGGATGTGCTGTACTTTTTCTCTCCGTATGAGAGAAAAAAAAAAAAAAAAAGGATGAGTCTATATTTCATATAGTTGAACCCCCTACCTTAAAATGAGTAAAATTTAGGAATACTAGGAGTTAGAAAGGAAACTAGGTAGGCACAGAAAAGATAGGGAACACCTAAAGTTAAAAACACAAATGTGAATTAGAAAATTAGGCTCATAACGACACTTTTTTTTTTTAGGGAGATACACATTCCATAGGCAGAATGCAGTCCGTCTCAGAAGGCGAGAGCAGCCCAGATTTTTTATTTAAAGTGCGTTATTCTTCGTAGTGGGTAAACGATGTGGTGTTTGTAATCACTGAAGCCAGACATTAGTAACCTGGCAATGAATTAACTGATGTGAAGTACCCGGATTAGAAAAATATTTGCAGGAACTATAGTGAATGCTGAAGACACATGGCGGAGTGGCTGGGAGTATCCCCCTGGAGGCAGAGGCTTGAGGTTCAATTCAAGGCACTAGTGGGCCCTCTGTATCCTGCTTCTGCATTTCTCGAACTCAACCAAGGAGGGAGGGGACTGAAAATATTTTTTTAAAAATTTTTGGAAATTTCCAAAAACCAAAACTTGAATTTGCCAAGCAGTAGCAACGATTTACATATTATTTAAATTCTGTTTACAACTATTTTATACATCGTTTACATTGTACTGGGTATTATAAGTAACCTAGAAATGATTTAAAGCAAATGGAAGGGTGTGCTGTAAGTTATAGGCAAATACTATGCCATTTTGTATAAGGGACTTGAGCATATGCACTGGGGAACCGATACCCTCTGATACCAAGGGATGACTGTACTAGCTGTATGTGACTTTGGACCACAGGTCAGTTTCTCCATCTGTGTGACTGGGATTATAATGCCTATCTTGTAAGATGGCTGTGAGCACTGGTGATAAACTATGTGAAGGGCTTGGCACTCGAACATGACGGCTGCTATGTTACTCTCACCCTCACAATTTTCTGGCACAAAAAAATAAGAGGCTTCACTTATCTTCAACTTATTTACTATTTGGGAAGGGTTAATGTTTGAAGACTGGGAAATTCTTAATTTGGGGCCAAGGTAAAATAAAGTAACTCAAGACCATTGAGTTACTACCTAGTGCCAAGCATTGCAAATTCAAAGATAAGTGAGCCCCATCCAGCCTCTGCCCTTAAGTAGCATACATACCTCCTCCTAGCAGATAAAACAGACACTGATTAATAATTTATTATAATGCAATGAGTTCTATAAGAGAAACATATTGGAAGAACTGTTTACTTTGGCTAAATGAGTCCAGGCGGGCTTCCTGAGGAAGTGATGTTACAGTGGGTCTTGAAGATTATGTAAAAATTCCTGGGTGAGCAGGTAGGTTAGAAGAGCTTTTAGAGCCATTCTAAACAGGATTAGTTCTAGCAAAGGTTCCTTGAAGCGGCCTTCAGAATCTTTATGATCTAATCCCTGCCTGTTTCTCCAATCTTATTTAATTCTGCATTCTCACTCCAGTCTAACATCAAGTCATAGAGGAGAATTTTTTTGAATTACTTCTTTGATGACTACACCCCCTTTTTTTGTTCTCTCTTTCTGGATTGCTCTTTATGTAGCTATTGGGTCGCTAGACTATTGGGTCCTCTTACTTATTACTCTTTTTCTCTTCTACTTTTCATCTCTTTCTCTTTTTGCTCCATCTTATTGGAAGTTTCTTTAACTTTATGTTCCAAGCCTTCAACTGAATTTTTCATTTCTGTTGTCATGTATTTACCTCTATCCGCATTCCCATTCCCTCCCCATCAGCAATCCTTCTTGCATATTTAATACAAATTTTTTGTTTTTATATATTTTAATAAAATGCTTGTTCTTGTTTTGCATCCATCTACTTTTTTTTTTTTTTTGCGGTATGGGGGCCTCTCACTGCTGTGGCCCCTCCCGTTGCGGAGCACAGGTTTCAGACGCGCAGGCTCAGCAGCCATGGCTCACGGGCCCAGCCGCTCCGCGGCATGTGGGATTCTCCCTGACCGGGGCACGAACCCGCGTCCCCTGCATCGGCAGGCAGACTCTCAACCACTGCGCCACCAGGGAAGAAAAATAAAGAAAGATTAAGGGACAAAGGGTTATGGGAATGTAAATTGATATGATGAAGGAACAAAGGGTTATGGGAATGTAAATTGATATGATGAAGGGACCAAGGGTTATGGGAATGTAAACTGATACAACCTTAACCCTTTGTCCCTTCATTCTTCTTTGTTTTTTTTTCCTAGCATTTGTATCAATCAGGGTTCCCTGTTGCTATTAAAAGAAACAACTTTTGCTCATTTAAGCAGACACTGAATGTATCACAGGTTATTAGGTAAGGCACAGGGTTATCAGGATTATGCACACCACTTAGAGGCTACTGCCTAAAATCACAGCACAGGAGCGGCCCAGTACCCAGACTGCGTCAGCACTGCTGGAGGTAGGCACCAGACACTATAGTCAGAATCTCATCCCTACTCCCCTGGAATGCTGCCCGCCCTGCACCGGGGGGATTTCAGGTGAGGCCATCTAATTCCACTTACTTGCTTCCAACACGTGTCAAAATCTGGTATGTTTGAAGTCAGGGAGTGAAAATTCTCCAACTTTGCTCTTTTTCAAGAGCGATCTAACTATTTTGGGTCCTTTGAATTTCAATAGAAATGTTAGAATCAGCTCTCAATTTCTCCAAAAAACCTGGAGGGGATTCTTATTGGGATTTTGTTGACTCTATAGATCAATTTAGAGAGAACTGACATCCAATTAATATTGTCTTTTTATTCATGAACGTAATGTATCTCTCCACTGACATCAATCTTCTTTAATTTCTTTCAGAAATGTTTTGCAGTTGTCATTGTAGAGGTATCTATGACATGCCTCACGTCAAGTTATTCCTAAATATTTTGGTTTTAGAAGTTATTAAAATGGATTTTTTTTACATTTACTTTTCCAATCACTTGTTGATTATATATAAAAATAAATTAATTTTTATATTAATTTTGTATCCTGCAATCTTGCTAAATTTCCTCATTAGTTCAAGCAGTTGTTTTATAGATTCTTTTAGATTTTCCGCATAATCATGTCATCTATGAATGAGTTTTACTTCTTCCTTTCTGAAGTGTATGCTTTCATTTTTCACTTACTTTATTGCACTGACTAGGATTACCAGGAAAATGCTGAATAGAAGTGTTGAGAATGGATCTACTCACTTTGTTCCCAATCTTAGGAAGAAAACACTAGGTCTTCTACTATTAAGTATGAGGTTAGCTGTCGATTTTTCATATGTACCTTTTATCAGATTGAGGAAGTTCTCATAATTCTAATGTATTGAGGGACATTAACATGAATTGGTGTTGGATTTTTATCAGAAGTGTCTTTTGAATTTACTGTAAATAACTTTTCTTATTTATTTTTTTGATATGATAAACTGATCAATTTTCTACTGTTAATCCAACCTTGCATTCTTGGGATAAACCCAATTTAGGAAATACAGTATTATCTTTTTTATATAAGGTGGGTTCAATTTGCTAAATTGGATAAGTATTTTTCTACCTATGTTTATGAGTAATGTTGTCCTATAATTTTCTTTTCTTTTGTCAGGTTTTGGTATCATGGTAATCCTGGACTTGTAAAACAAGATGGAAGTTTTGCCTACTTGCAATATTTTCTGGATGACTTTGTATGAGATTAGTGTTATTTTTTCCTTAAATGTCTGATAGAATTCACCAGTGAAACCACTTATTTCACTTTCTTTTGACTTATTTTGCCCTTATTTTTTATACTTTAGAAACATATCATTGATGTTAGCCCTTTCTTCTTTTCTAATATTAGCACAAAAGGTTTTAAATTTCTCTCTATGCATTGATTTAACTACATCCTGCAAATTATCATATAATTTGAAATATTTTCTAATTTTCCTTATTTATTTATTTTTCCCATGGATTAATAAGAAATGTGTTTCTAATTTTCAATTATTGGGGGATTTTCCAGATATCTTTATATTATTGATTTCTGATTTAATTTTATTGTGGAATATTTCTATCCTGGAAATTTCAATCTCTTAAAATTTATTGAAAGTTGTTTTACAGCATGGCATGCATTCCATCTGTGTAAACAGTATCATGTGCACTTGAAAATAATAATATTCTACTGTTGTTGGATGTAGTATTTTATAAAAGTTATTAGGTCAGAGTGATAGATTTTTTCATACCTTCTATGATCTTACTTATTTTGTCTAATTGTTCTGTCAATTGCTAGGAGGGGGATGTTCAAATCTCCAACCGTAATTTTGAGTTTGTTTATCATACCATTTAATTTCTGTATATATATATATATATATATATATATATATATATATATATTTGTTATGTCTCCCCAGTGAACTTGCTCATTTGTCATTTATGATTGTGAAATACCTCTATCATTAGTAATAGATAGTTTGGAAGTATATTTTATCTGATATTAACATAGTCACTACAGCCTTTTTGTTTATTGGTTGCATGTTATATCTTTTCTCATCCTTCTACTCTTAAGCTATTTAAAAATGCATCTCTTTCAGTTTCAAGATTGGTTCAAGATGGCAGAATAGAAGGACATGTCCTCACTCCGTCTTGTGAGACCACCGGAACCACAACTAACTGCTGAACAATCAACAACAGGAAGACACTGGAACTCACCAAAAAATATACCCCACATCCAAAGACAAAGGAGAAGCCACAATGAGATGGTAGGAGGAGCGCAATCACAATAAAATAAAATCCCATAACTGCTGGGTGGGTGACT